AAATATCCAATCTAAGCCTCCCCTGGCCCAGTCTGAGGCCGTTCCCTCTCCTCCTGTCCCTGTTCCCTGGAGCAGATCCCAAATCCCCCCGGCTGTCCCCTCCTGTCAGGGAGTTGTGCAGAGCCACAAGGTCCCCCCTGATCCTCCTTTTCTCCAGGCTGAGCCCCTTTCCCAGCTCCCTCAGCTGCTCCAGACCCTTCCCCAGCTCCATTCCCTTCCCCAGACAGCTCCAGCCCCTCAGTCTGCCTTGCAGTGAGGGGCCCAATATAGATGTATATATACATAAATACACATATATATACACAGACACATACAAATTCAGGCATTGGAATCTGAAGAGATCTTAAAAAACTCAGTACATCCCATCCAGAAAGGTCTTGTGTGACATTCGTGCAATATTCCAGCTAAAAAAATGCAACACCTTCTTCCTGGGGAGGAAGAACATTTCTGTTTGTCAGATTTCTTGGTAATTTCTCTGTATCCTGAAAATTTTTGCACAGGCAGGCCTGGAGTACACATAATTAAAAATCGTCACAGTTATAGAAAAATATTCAAATAGATTACGAGAGATTAAGATTTTAAAATGGATTTTTGTTTTCATTTATCCCCCTGCTAGCATCCAAATTTATGGTTCTGTGAGAAAACAGAGCCATAAAGATAATTTAATACGACCTCCTTGAAATGCAGGCCAAATAACTTTTTTTTTTTTTTTTTTAATATTTCTGCATGAAATATTTCAGGAAAATAAAATAATAGATCAAAAACATCCTTCTGGTAGAGTCATTACCTCTGAATATTCTAGGAGGCTTTGGAAACACCACTTTATCTCTCTTTCTTCCTTGTGTTTAATTTTTACTGAGCTGGGATAAAGCAGGTAAGTATAAACATTTCACATTCTGCAGTGATTCCACTCTTTTCAAGCCCATTATTATGCAGGAGTTACCAAACAACATTGGGACTTTGAAATTTTGCCCAAAGGGAGGAGATAAGATTGGGTAACAGCTACTCACCTATGACACCTCACCTAACATTATCAAAAGAAGGAAACGTTCCTCAAGTAATTAAATATTTATTCCTTTAAAGGTATAACTAGAGCACGAAAATACATTTCTACCTCCCACAGCTTTTATCAAGCTGTCAAGCTCTCCATAACTTGGTGTTAACTGAGTCATAAAGGGAAAAATATCTAAAGCAGGAGAAATGTGTGAACCCTTGCTTGAGGATGCACTTGGTCATTCAGTGAGAAACAGGAAAAAAATCTCGGTTATTCCTGATCTCTGCAGGTGCAGCTCAGCAGCAAGATCAGGGTGTGCTCAGCTCAGACAGGAGGAGGTGGGATAATGTTCCTGCTCTTGGACACAGCTCCACACCTGACCTTGCACTTCTGGGCAAACTCCTGATGAACTTTCAACCAGAAAAACTTTATCCTTTTTCTCTTTTCCAGCTCCCTTCCTTCTCCACACACATATTCATCATCTTACAAATTAATTGAACAGCCCAGTCTGGTCTGAGAGGTTGTTTATTAAAACAACTGAGTGTATATATAAAAAGAGTGAAAGGAGAAACATTGACTTGTTTCCCTTATAAGCTTTTAATTCAGATTCATACCATTAATTCATTAAATGAATTAAATGAATTAAATGAAATTCATTTCATTAAAAAAACAAAACCCAAACCTACTAATTTTTTGCTTGAAGATCTTACTGAAATCTGCAATTTTATATGCAGAAATGTCATTTTAAGTCCATAAATATCCATCCTCTATATTAAAATGAAGTTTCAGAGAGACACAGGAACCTTGCTTTGACCAGCTGTCTTTGAGACACAGAACAAAGCACCAGATATAAAAATATCCACACGGTATTTTTGTTTTCATGGGACTCTTTCCCTGCGTTTCCACAGCTTGGTCCACTCTTTCTAAAGTGTGAAAGATCTGAACTACAGATCAGCATTTCATACTCTGAGGGCAGTGTAGCAGGAAGATACTGGATCAAAGTGAATCTCTATAGATTCTTCACCTTCCCTTATTGTCAAAGCATTTGTTCAGCTTTAAAACCATCATTTATATGGAGCCAAGCACTTAACCTCATGTGTGAGTTTAATAATGAGATTGAGATCACTGGGAACTAAGGATTAAAAATGAGTAATGGACTAAGTTATTTTGCTCACTTCAAACCTCTATTCCTTTGTAGTAATAACCTGCTCAGTAGCTCCTTGACCTAAAATACATATTTAGCTGTGTTAACTCTTCACTTTCAGACTTTCAATTTAATAAACTAGTAAGGGGGGGAAAAAAACTTAGGAAAACTATTTTGAAAGTTACCTACAGGCTTTCTGTGTTCTCTGGCTTCTTAATTCAGGAAGTGTCTCCTTGCTGAAGATGTGTATATAAATTGAAATACCTTCATGGTCATTTTCCCTTGCTTTATTAAAATGGGAAAGCCAAAATCGGAAGTTTCTCAAATAGGAAGTTTATCAAAATGGAAAGCTAAAATTTTTATCTAGCCTTCTTCTTGTGGCCACAGGTGAAAAGCTACAGACATTTCTGACTGACTTTGGTAACTTGGGTGTCTAATTTCACAGAGAAAATGCATTGCCTGGCATACGAATAACAAGAAGTGTAACCACAAAATTTAAAACCACACTAGAAACTGTCCCCAGCTCAGGGAGGCCTCTCTGACCTTCATGTCGATCTTCAAACAATCATTTGCTGTATATTTATCAGCTAGAAGCAAATTATTTAAAAATAGCTAAGTTCTGTGATTGAGAAATACATAAATATATTCAGTTCTCTTGCATTTTAGGTACAACTTGAACATTTTCCAGGTTGTAGGTACACAGGAAGATGTGTGACACCCACACATTTTGGTTGAGAACCAAGGTGATAGTCATGAGAAAGGGATGCTGATTTCTGAGCAGAGGTGTGGAGTTCCCTTTTTTCAATGGAGGACTGTCTCTAGAGAATGTTTTCAAAATCCACATTTCTTTATGACTACCCTTTCTACTACACTCAAAATTCTTCTAGATCTGTAAGTTTTGCAAGATTCCAAGAAAGGAAAGTCTGTGGTATGAATTCTTGATTGGTGCAGTTAATGGAATATCATTGTGGCACTTGTGACATTGTGAAAATTAATTTCACAATTCACTTATTTTAAGAAAAAAATTATTTTTTAAAAATATTGAGTTTGCTGTATGACAGCTGACTTTGTAACACTGTTTTTTTTTTTTAAGTTCTAAGGGCCAGTGGTTACTTTCTGCTTATTTAGTAATTTCATAAAATCATAGAATGGTTTGGGTTGGAAGGGACCTTAAAGATCACACAGTTCACAACTGTCAGTGCCTTACCTTGCATGACAGCAATTCCAGATTTTTAATGCTTCTCATGTTTCCATGTACTTTTCCATCCCTTATTTCGGATGAGTGGATAAAGACTGCATGAACAATTCAAATACAGGCACCCAGTATTTTCCTCTATCAAATCTGTCCTCATCCTGTTGGCTTCACTACACGAGTTGGGCACTGGACTGACACATCCTGGTTGGTGCTTGGCTCATTTTTTCATGTGCATTTCTTTATCATTTATCAACACTAAACTTTATTGTGTGACCATGAAGATATTTAGAGCATAGATGGATAAAAGTCAAATAATCTGTCCAAAAGTAGAACTCTAATGACCATGGACAAGGTTGCCCAAAATCACTCTGGATTCTTCCCTCACTGAGTCTGATTTTCCTGGAGCATTTCACAGCCACAGTCACTATTGTGAGTGAGTGACTGATCCCAGATTACTTTCCTTATGATCTTTCCCCATGGAGACCCCAGCACTGGAGAGTCCACATGTTCAGATTCCATTAGGCTACGTGCTTCCCGCTAAACTTTTCCAAATTTGAGATGCCTTTTAGAGCAACAACATAATTTGAAAGCAACCATTGAGTTAATCCATCCGAGTTTTAGAGGAAAACACTTCTGAAGAAGAGCTATTACTTTTATTCATGGCAAATTGCCTGTTTTCCTGCAGCATGCCAGGACATTTTTACTTGTCTGTTATTTGCTATTTTTGTCTTTACACTCTGTATCTGTCTTCTGTCTCTGTAATCTCATTTGTAAAGATCCCAATTACTTTTAGGGGGTTAGTTGTTACCACAAGCAATGCCAGTCTGTGTCATACTCCAGGGCTTTATAGGGAAAGCTCTGCAAGGACTTCCCCACATCTCATGTATTTTGCTCAAGTCTACACTCTCCAGCTCTGATTGGGGAACTGCTTTTATTACACAGTACAACTAAACAAAGCAAAAATAGTAATTTCCTAAAAGACCTCTGAGAGTACATTTCTTTACATAGACTGTGTAGGAGGGCAATAGAACAAAATTTGGTGCTTTGCTATTCTGAGGAATAATCAGTGTATCTTAGACAACATCCAAATATCTCCCAAAACTCTGCAAGGGCTACACTTGTCATTATTGGTGTAATTCAGTGTTTATCACAGTGTTTCAAATCCCCTGGGAGGCCATGAATGTTCCCTTAACTTGACAGTATCTAGTTATAAGGAAAATTAATAGTTGCTCATTGTTTTTCTTTTATATATACACCCAGACTTTTTGATAATGATAATACAGGCTCTATAATTAAGTAACTGTTGGTGTTAAAAATGGAATAAAAGTATATATTTGTGCAGTGGACTTTGTACAGGTCTATAAGGTGTGGCACAATAGATGATTCCAAGGTTCTGAAGTGCCAACTTTACAAGTGAATAAAATTCAGAGGTGTTGCATTTAAACAATTAATTTCATCCCACATGACACGTATGTATTGAGGATTTAATGTATCTCAGATTTAAACTCTGGTTTTGAGCCACTGACCATGTTTGGCTTATCCTGGTTATTAAAAAATGAGAAGATTCACAGAAATTAAGAATAAAAAAGGAATCATGAGGCAGAATTAGTAACTCTGTCCATAACTATGATTCAGGAGATATCTGTGCATTAAAGAGATGAGCCACATTGAGGATTCCAAGGTTAAATGAGTTTATTGAGTTAGTGGTTACAATGGTATGTCAGATACCTGTAATCCAAGCTACACCTACATATTTGCTTCTAAATTCTCACACTGTCAGTTTCCGTGTCTCTAAACATTCCACCACCAGGTCTTCTATTACTAATATAATAATAATAATAATAATCAGAATAATAATCATAATATAAAAGGCAATGTCAATCACCATATTGTGCTTCATACTCCACCATAAGGAATTCAATTGGCAAAAGTAAACCTCTGGTCATATTAATGGGATTAATTGAAATGTGAGCAATCATAACACTACTAGAATATAAAGAACAAAATCTGGTTCAAAAGAAGCATTTTTAAGATGAATTAGTTTGAATCTGTTTTAAAAATTCACATACTATAATGAAAATGACTTAAAAGTTATATCATTTAATTATTGGGCCACACATTGAAGCATATTGGCTAGTACATTTTTGCACTGCAACAGAAGCAATACAAGCTTTATGGTCTACCATTACAATTCCTTTTTTTTTTTTTTTTTTTCACTTAGTATACCTGCCAACCTAATGTTTCTCGCATGCATAAAAATTTCGGGGTTTAGAGTTGAATTTATGATTTATTCCACACGAATACCCCCGTGATGCAAATTCTTTGGCCAATTTAATGCTATAGTTTAGTTTTAAAAGGAAGCTTGGAGTTAAGTCCACTTAACATCAGAAGGCAAAGCCCTGAATTTTGGGCACTGCAGAGTTATTTACTGGAATAGAGTCTCAGGTCGCATGCAAATTGTCATTTTGTCCCCCCCACCCCATGCCAGACGCACACAAGTCGGCAGGTATGCATACAAAAAAGAATATAAAACCCTCCTGGTAAAGCTCAGTGGTTTAGAATGAATCCATAGCTTTAAATTCACTTAAGGCCTGTACAGGGGAAATATGTTTCTTCTGGGACCCTCTCCTCACTCTGGTCTGATATTCTTCTGGTTTTTCTCTCTTTACTAGAGGTTTCTTCTCGGGGGCCTTCATCTTCCAAGATACAACTGGAGAGTTCACTGCAGCAGTGCCATAGACCTTCTGATATTTAGTAGAAGCCACATATGATGCTTTCACTGTAAGGACCACAGCGTTCATCAGGTTTTTAGCTGCCTGGATGAGAGAAGTGGCACTGTCCAGCTACAAACAGAAAACAAAATGAAATATAGCAAGGTTACTCCAAAACAAAACAGCAAGGTCATTCCATGGCTGGATCACGGGGCCATTTCCTGACTGGAGCCTGGATCCTCCCAGATCTCATTGAAGATGGAACAAGTCCTCTTCCTTGGGGTACTTTGGAGTATCCAGCACTGGCAACATCATGCACTGAACACTAAAGGTAAGACTGTGGTACCTCACATTAATTTTTTTTTTAAATAAGTTAAAGGAAAAGCTTGTGTTATCTGTGGGTTAGTTTTTTTTGTCTGTTTGTGGGTTTTTTTGGTTGTTGATTCTTTTTCTACAGTTTAAGAAGTTTTCTGTTTTCTCACAAAAACCTCTTTACTTCTCACTTAAACCTTTAAAAATTTACTGTTACACGTCAGCTATAAACCAGGTCAACAGGGATTTTTCCCAAGTGTTCCAGTTTGTTCTAATTATTCCTGTTTAGCCCAGGATAACACCCCCAGTGATGTATACAAGAACAGTGTGAGGCCAGCACTGAGCTTGTTAGAGAATCCCATCTGAAAAGATGAAAGGAGGTTCTGAAACCCCTACAGAAATGAAAAGATGAGACTGTTAACTACAGGTTTTGGCAGCTCCTGTAATGTGTGAGTTGCTTGTGGTCTCAAGGAATGCCACTTTGTGGTTACCAGGCTTTTTGTACCTTTGTGCTTCTCCCATGCACAAACCTGACTGAGGTTCCTGGGTGTCCTCGGGATGTAAGAGCCCTTCAGGACCTACTGAGCTTCAAAACACTGGGACTTCCAGTCAGCAAGCTTCCATCATACACTGAAGTGAACTACATACCCCTGGCCAAAATTTTCAAATGATTTCTACATATAATGGGCACTTCCAAGGCAATGTCTCAATGTTCCACGATGTGAATCAGGCACTCTCCAAGATCCAAAATAACAGGTCCTAAAAATATGCTCCTAAGGACTGTAGCAAGCCAGGTTACGACTTATGATGTTCAATTATCCCTTTCCTAAAATACTGAAGAGTGGGATACACGTTTTTTGTGATAAAGCCTTTCAGATATACCATGGAAGCTGCTTCAATTATTTAATGTCTTTCCCAGACTGTAGGAATGATATGGGATGTAGCATTACTTTACCTCTTTGATTCCACTCACATGTTCAGTAAGTTTTTAGTTATTTTTAATTAGTACAAATGTCCCTCCAAACCTTCCCTTCTCCCTATTTTGGGAGCACATGGCTCTAATATAAATGCTAAGCAAGGTAAGCAGGACAAACAGTCATAACAGAAGCCACACCATACTTCACCTCAAACATTTTGAATCATTAACAGAAGAGTTCAGGAGAAATCTCCTTCTGAAGTGTCAGTGACTGATGTGAACAAAAACAGACATTACAGAAAGCCTGGATTTGAAAACACATTAATCTATACTTACCTGGGGTATTTTATTTCCTCTGCTCTGGCCTTAAACTCATTATGGTTCATCAAATACATAAACAGCTACATACAGTGAGGTGAAAACCAAAAAAAAGCATTTTAATGATATTCACGTACGTGGTGCCATTCCCTGAAATGCACAGTTAATTGCCTGCCCCTAGTAAATATTTTTCCTTGGGACTAATTTGTATTTCTGTTAGTAAAAGAAACGAAGTTAAAAGATGGAAAATTACATTACATGGCAGAAACATGACTGTTCAATAGGGAGTAATGAAATATAATCCAGTCTAGTGTTATTCTATAACCACACTGCTGCATGATTTATAAGGCAATCTGTATGTTTGTTGGCAAATAACAGATCACACTCTATTAAATTAGGATATTCTAATTTACTACAGAGATCTACAATCAAGCATTATTCATTGTTAAATGCTTCTCTTTGAAACACTGGTGGATTGATATTGAATATAAAGTGATACCATCAAATAGTGTTTACTTCATAATCAGTGTGGATAAACTGACTGGATTGAGCCTCTATTGCACATTCCTGAATGAATCCTGGTTGCTGAAGGTTTCCAAGAGCTTTTCATTTTCCTCCATGAAAAGCTGTTTTACACATATTAAGAAACAGAATAATTAAAGGAAGCATTTTAAAATCAGGGGGCACCAAAATTAGATGCTTAAATCCATACACAGAGTTGAATCTATACCTCTGAACACAATAATCAGTAATTTTATGTAGTGGTAAGGGCATGCAGAATCTTGCACTTCTTCAAGAGCACACGCAGGCTGCAGTGACACCTTTTAGGAAACCACGTTTTGTATTTTGATGCCATTTTAACTCTCTTCAGTTTCAATATGCTGCTAGAATAGGTAAGAGCTCCCTGTTTTCCCCACTAATAATCACATTTTAAGATGCAGATACTCAGTCTTTGACTCTAATATCCACTTATCTTGTAAAACACTTCCAAATCTTGGAACCAGAAAAGAGACATAAAACCCCATCAGACACTGTGAGCGTTCTCCAAAATCTGCTGGTGGCCATTCCATGCATCCAATTTGGCCACCTAAGCATTTCCAGTGATTTTCTTATGGCTTTCAGCTCCTTGCTTGTATTGTGGCTTAGTACAGAAGAATTAAACTGAATGAACATCATTCCAATTAACATTTAGATCTTCCTACACCACGGTGTTGCTCCAGCTCTAAGCTGTGCTTTGCCACACTGGCACAAAGCTGGAATGAGGCAGCAGTGAATCAAGCCCTGAGTGTGTTAATTCCTTACAAAAACTGGGCACAGAAACATATGCACTTTTCCAAAAGGATGTTAATAATAACAAAAATCATAAGAAGGAAAATTAACATTTCAAATAAAAGCACCACTAGGAAAATTACTTCACAGTACAGAAGGCAACCTTTACTCCCTGCAATACCCACAGAATTATAGATTTAATGATGGATTTTGATCCTAACAGCCAACAGAGCCTTTGACTTGCTGCACAAAATAATGGTGTTCTGCTGCTTAGACCTCTTTAAAAATATGTTTTCCTGCTTTTAGGAAAAAAGAAAACTCTCTCAACCATAATAGATAAACTTTGGTTACTGTCCCACAAAACTGTAATAACTGAATGCTGAGGAAAATTCAAAATTCATAGAGATCCTCAGAATAACTGCACTGGACCTGGTCACTTAGAATAATTAGGGTTGGAAAAGATCTGCCAAGAATATAATTCCAGGGTTTACTTCCTCCTAGAGAAAACCCTTCAGGTTTTGAGGAGTTTTTGAGCTGCTTATCAGCTGTTCTGCAATTTTCCTGCATTATTTGCAGAATTTTCCAGAATCTTGAGATAATCAAGATTTCTTGCTTCTTTTACAAATACACATAATCTAAGTAAAATAACCAGCAACTGAAATAGCAAAATAGCTGAAGAAATGGGAGGGAATAAAGCTGGAAACTTTTGTCCTTAACAGTAAAGCAATGAAAAGAGATGTTCTCCCTGCATTGTCACACTGCTGTAATGGGGAAAAATTTTACTTTATGGTTTAGAAAGGAGAAAATCTAACTTCCAGACATGTCTTCATATTTGTAATAATAAATATCCATAGAAAAGTAAGAGAAATTGAAGGGGGAAAAAAAATCAGTATTTCCACTGACTAAGGATACAGAATGGATATTTTTAAAAGAGGTAGTTGTTTAAGAATGTTCCATATCATTACTGCTGATTTTAATAAACGTTGAAAAGTAGGTGAAAACATCAAAAGAACTGTAGATAGTTTCTAGTCTCGAAATATTTGAGCAATGAAACTAAAATGACCTGTGAAATTATAGGCCAGCTCAGCTGACAGCTCCCAAATTAAATGATGCAATGTCTGTGACAGACTCCATAAATAGAGAAAAGAAATGCAGTTAATGGTAAGCAAAGGGCTGTGTGGGTTAAAATACTTTCAAAGTAACCCACATCATATTTTGGTATGATTAAACTTTGAATTGCTTAAAATAATGCTGTGGGTATAACTGGATCTTTGAAAGGTCTTTTGCTTAGTAATACATGACAGTTTGATTAAAAACTCAGTTGACAAAAAACTAGCAAGACACATACACAGAAGAATTCCAGATTCTCCAGCAGCTGCTTGCAGAAGTACATACACACACAAAAAAAAATCAGTGCTCAACAGTGAATTTCACAGTGGGGTCTTGGAGAAACCATTTGGAGGATTCACTATAATAATATTTCTACTAAAAACTTGCAAAGGAAGTCACTCATTTGATAAAATTTGCAGATAACAATTGGGAAAGTGTCAAGTCATGCAGAGGGCAAGTGATTGATATCTAATTAGCTGCTAAAAGCCACAAATGTAGATTTAATTCCAGCCAGATCTACAGCAGATGATACCTAATTACACAATAAGGAACTTTATTCTCTGCAGGATCCCAGGCAATCACTCCTTGAGTACACAAAAAGGAGGAGACTGATGAAACAGGCTCAATTATCATATTCAGTTTATTGTCTGTCCACAGTTATGGGATGCTGAGTCCTCTTCTCAATGAAAGAACAATATTGAGGAACTGAGAAAGAACTTAAACTCAGTATCAAAAAACATCTTTTGTGGGAAAGACTCAGCCAGCTCTGTTTTTCCCACTTTCAAGGGAATGACTAAAAAATGAGTTGTCTGAAATCAGCAAATACATGGTAACAAAGCTGATTATATTTCAAGTTCCACAGGTTAGACAAAGACTAAACAAAACTTAAAGGCTGAGAGGTGAAGAAAGTCATTTTAGTTATTAATAACCTGAAATTATTTATTTAGCAGTTATATTAATTAATCACAAGAACTCATGAAAGATTGATTCTATTTCTTGAAATTGTGAAATCAATATTGGATAGTTTTGCTTAATATGTATTAGCTATTGGACATTTTTAGTGCACATCAGTTCAGGGAGCTTGTGCATCAGTTATGCAGGAAGGCAGCTTAGATGATAACAACAGGCCCACTGACCTTGAAAGGTATGAAAACAAAAAATTACTATTAGGAGCTATTGATAAATAGTTCGGTCTGGTTCACTTTGT